TTGCTAAATGATTTTAAAATTAAATATTAAGGTACTCAATTATAGTCACGTTGTTATTGTCATCCGATAAATTTATTTTGAAATAATTAGCGATATGGCGTCCTCTAAAAATCCTAACTTACTTCTCACATTAATAATCTAGGTTAGAAATATGTGGAACGGCATTCCAGAATTGTAATATAACTTAAAATTCAATAAAATTCAAGGCCTCAAAATGATGTTTACCATTTCTAGTTTCAGGTGCCATAGCTATAGCTAAGGTACAAGGGCTCAAAACTGAGGCTTGAAAATTTTCACAATAGATGCCAAAACTTGTCGCAAGCAAAATCGCAGCAGCGGCTGTGGCAGACGTCATCTGTTACGCTTGTGTGTCTGAAATCACTGAACACTGTTTGTCAACTGTGCTAAACGCAGCTTAAATTTAGCAAGAAGGTAATCAGATAAGTAAGATACATTTGTCGTCACCTTTTTTCCGACACTTGAAAATATATATTCATTTTTCTCATTCAACAATTCGTTTGGAAGAGTTAAAAAAAGGTCTTTTCTATAACAGTAAAACGAGAGTCTGAAACGCACAGGAGTGCACGATGAACATCTTGTTAAAGCATCCCCGAAGGACTTGATGGGCTTAGTAGATTGGCTAGTCAAATTAGTGAAGGCCCCAGCTATACACGTTTTTTAAAAAAATACCAATTTGTCATTAAAATCGTTTATCGGTTATCGGGTTATAGTTGCATTTTATTTATTTATTTGTTTTTATAACAAATAACCAGTTCCCTAATATTTTCCAAAGTGCACTAAATGTTTTGTCATGTAAATCCAAGTTTGTATGGTTGAAATTTTTTAATAATTTTTTGGGGGGAAAAATGGTAATATACTTTCAAGTGTCGTAAATAAATTAATTTGACGACAAAATCTGATTAAATTTTCTTTAACTGCTTCAGCACCATTACAAATAATTTATAATTTTGCTTAAATTTAGTTTTACAAATAATCAGTGAAATTTTTTTTACAATGAAATACATGTTTCTACATTCAATCAGAATTTAAAAACTTTTCATGTTGGCTTGTTGTTTTGTACGTATACACTTGGTGAGTTAACAAAATGTAAGTAAGCCGTTGCCATATATAACGAGACAATTTACGTGAATGAGAGTTCAAGGTTGTCGCGATTGTTTTAATACCTTTAAATTGTAAATCATCAAAATTGCAGCTCTATGGATTGATTTCAGTACAAAAATTAATGCGCGTGTGTATTTTTACAGTTCGCACGAAACGTCATTCAAAGAAATCGATCAAGTAATTAGTTTTTTTCTGGGTCATTAACGAAAAACTTTCAACAACACTTACATTTTTTTTTGCAAAAAGTTTTTTGTTTAACTACGTGAATTGGAAATCTCAATTGTAAAAATAAGGTCACTTTTCGTGACATCAGCAATTCACGCGCAGACCGGCTGTGCAGGGCATATATGCATGCATATGTACGTACATGGATAAAACATGGAGCAGGGTCACAAATAGGAACGGGCAAGTCCGATTAAATTTTTACAACCTGCAATGAAAAGAATGTAAGGAGACGTTTGTTGGATGGAAATATATTCTGCTCCTGAAACAACCTTGCCTGTCAGATTTGGCTATGCAAATTATTCTGCTGACCAAATAATAAATTTTTTAAATGAATAGAACTTTTGTTTCATGATATTTTTTTTTAAATTTCAACAAAACTGCTCAATTGCTCAGTCCAACCATTGGGTGAAAAGTATTAACATTTTACATTTCAAGTTAAATTTGTTTCTTTTCAATGTCTTGAAACGTTAGTCTAATTTTTGCAGGTTCATTGAAAACTTTTACAAAAAAATGAAATAATTTTATTGCCAGAACATGGAACGAAATTTTTTGAGCAAAACGCCCAGTGAAACGACATGGATATTTTTTCTTGACATGGATATTTTTTTTTTTGTCAATTTCATTGTTGACAAAGTTTTTTTACAAATTTTAAAATTTCTTGTTTCTTTAAATATAGGATATCTAAAAAAAGTTTAATAGGTTTCTGGAATGATGCTGTTTCACTTTTCATTAAAATTGATAATCGCCTTTATTTAAACATATTTTTTAAATTTAAATACAAATGTTTACACAAATTAAAAAATGTTTAAAATGCACATGCGAATATGTGACTCATGCATTTTCATAACATAAAAAAATTATACACACATGCTTTACGATTGAAGTAAGCGCATTCAAGATTAAATGAAGACAAAATATTTTGCAAAGTCACTTTGTTTATAGCTGATTCCATTGAAAACTTCACTGCCATGTAGGGATTTACCGTTCCAAAAAGCTACTAAAACGTTGTTTAATTTTGTCACCGATTCTACAGGCAACAGCTTTTCAACCGCCCAAATGTTAGTTTTTTTCTTCGCTACATTTTACATCTTACATTTTTTAAACATGTTAACATTGTTTGCCTTGATGTTTTTAATCAAAATTGAAAATTTGTTCTAGCGAAAGTAGATTCAAAACTTCCAAATTATATGCAACACACTCTGTGCTCCACATAGTTTTCCATTATAGAGATTATTTATGGCTAGCAACTCGTCCAACCCTCCGCTAATTAAATAAGCGGACCAGTTAACAAAAAGGTCAGTCACTTACATGCTTTATGACTTGCGCAGCGATTCAACCATAAATATCTTGGCGTCTCAGCACAATTTGTAGCTCCAATGGTCATCAAGTTTTCATTTCAAACATACCATTGCTGATTGAAACATATCATATTGTTTAATAAACGAATAAAGCAAACATTTGATATACTCCATTGAATCAGCTTCACGCTACAATTTAAACAAAAGATTAAACGCATCAATTCAGTGAGTAAATTTTTAAAATAGATGTGTTTACCATTGTGATTTGGACGTTGAACCGGTTTTGAACACGCCTAAAACGTTTTTATTTAATAATTTTGGAAACTGCAAAATATAAAATGTTTACATGGAGGTCATAGAACGGCTGAAAATTATTTAAACATAATTAAAGTTTACTTTTTCATGTTTTTTTATGTTTTCAAGTAAAATTACTCGACATAAAATCGTTTAAGTTATTGATAAAACTTTAATGGATCGTTGAAACTACAGCAAAAACCAAATGGGATCATTAATTTTAAATATAATTTTTGAAAGAAACTATGTCAAGGCCTACAAATGAGCAACAGTGTAGCCAAAAGACAGAGGGTAAACATCTTATCATTTTCCTGTTCCTTTTCTACTAAAAAAATTGGCCTTACTAGAAAGATTGGTGATGGTGCTAGCAGCAGTCTTAATTTATCTATTAACTCATTTAACGAAAAATCAAGCATCAACAAGAGCGTGTAGTGCTGTGAGAAAATTATAATTAATTGTGAAGGTGTCGAGGTGATCATTGTAAAGTGATCCAGAGTGAGCTAGTTCAATTCTAATCCTTGTCGTCATCATCATTATCCCCACCATCATCATCACCATCATCATCACCATCATCATCAACATCATGGCCGTCATCTTCATCATTTGACAGTTTATCATGTTCAAAGATAAAACTGCCTTCTTGATGAAAATGATGAAACGTTTGCGCCTTTTAACAACCAGTGCACAGTTTTTCCCAAATTTTTAGCTAAGTTAGTTAATTTGCACAAAAATAAGGTTGGTTAGTCTGGGGTTCAAACACAAACACAAGTCCGGTTCAAATTTGATTTACGTCTTTTTTAGATATACATAAACTTTAGTAACCTTTGATTCATTAATACTTTATAACAATGTTTTCCATGAAAAAATATTAGGACAACTGTAAAAAGCCAATCAAATGCTAATATTTGTAGTTATTTTACACTAGCGGGTAATTAATTAGTTCATGGCAACCCGACGCTGTAGAGTTTTTCAGATATCTTACCATTGCTGTTTGCTCAAATTATTGTCATTCATTATTTTACATTAGGCAGTAACATATTTCCAAATTTGTAGATAGCTTTGAAAATTATGCTGACGATCTCTGTATCAATCCTTGTACCAACTGCAAGCAATGAGCGTTCGTTAAAAGAACTATAACTCATTTCAACGTATTTAAGAGCTTCAATTGGACAAAATCGTTTGCCTGACTAAAAATAGTTAAAAAAAATAGCTAAGCATAAAAAAGGAGCTGGTAGAATCAATCAATTTCGATAATTTCCATTACAACTTTGCAAATGCAAAATCACTTAAGCTTTTTTTCGTTACAGACTGTTCATTGAATTTTTTCAAGTTGTTTTTCATAGAGATTTTGAATTGCCTACTGATAAATGTAGTTACAAAGTTACGTAAACATGAACTTTACACGCTAACCATTTAACAATTTTTTAATAATTAAAACCTGGTTTAAGTATTTTCATTTTTTACTAATTGATTTTTCTGAAATTTTGTTTTGAATTTGAAGTTTTGAAAACTTGGCATTTTTCAATTGGATGACCAATGAAAACAATATCCTATTGTGGCATTCATAAAAAAGTATACATTTCTTGCAAGAATTAATAACAAGCATTGCAAACAAATGTTTGTATGTTTTTGAGGGTAGGTATTTTATAGTACAAAACTATTTATGTTTGAATTGTATGTGCATATTTTGTGTATGCACTAATTTTAGCAAACCTGTTTTTATATGTGGATGCATTTTTTCATTATGTGATTGCATGCTCACATCTATGCATGTATGTTTGTGAACATGAAATGGGTGTATTTCCAGGCGATTGCGAGCGATTTTACGTGTTTGTGTGCGTGTGTATGTGATTCGCTGAGCGTGTTCATGTGAAAATGTCCTTCTACATTAGTGTCAGTAAATAAGCGTCAGGAGGAAATGAATGCAACATCGTAGGTAGCACATGAACCGAGCGCCACATAACGGAGCCCTCACGTCTTGAACAAATATATAAAATACATTAAGCACCAGCTACGTGATGCTTCAAATGTTTGCTTTTCATGACAATTTTCATAAAAAAAAAATATTTTTAATAAAAAGAATATTTTTTAAACATATAATCTGTTTTCAAAGTATTCAACATTATGTTCTCTGTGAACATAATTACATTTAGATCAATTATAAATTTTATGTGACTTAAACATTTTTCAAAATTTACATTAAACAATGAAGATACGTGATGGATGAATAATAAAAAATCACACAAAACGAAGTAAGACATTTTTGAATGAGATGAAAATTATGAAAGGCAGACTAACCCTGCTGACGGCGCCTGCATTCTTCCCCATCCTGGAAAGTGGGTGGCAGATGGCGAAGTACCTGTCCAATTCCAATTGTTACAATGTACTTCTTTCACAAATCAAACGTTTAAAATATAATTTTATTACATCTATGTGCTAGTGAAAACGTTTTATGGCGACAGATCTCTCACTTTCATTATTTCCGTGAACAAAGAATCTAAGCAGTGCAGGTGCTGGTGCACAGCGGGGCGTTTGGAATCACGCCGTACGACAAAAGGGTCAAACAAAGTTTATTTAAAATGTGCTAAATATAATTTAATGTTATTGCAAGAAAAATTAGTCAAATCCAAAAAGAAAAAGAAAAAATGTTCAAAACTTGAAAAGTTTTTTAATTTGTTAAAATTTTTAATTTAAAAAATATTGGAAAATTAATTTTATAATATTTTCCAGATTAATAAACTCCAGATGGGATTTACAATATCATTTGCCGTTTGACGCCCATAAATTTACGGACATTATGAACATTGTGAACATGGTGAACGTTATGAACATTATGAACATTGAACTAAAGTCCAAGCACCCCTATATATCTGCCGACAAGTAAATTGAGCATGTAATAACTATACGTTCACCGTCAAAGATTTCAATTAAAAAGTCTTGAAAATAATGCGCGCTTAATTGCACTGGCGTGCCGAGGGGGGGGGCGAGGGGGGCGGATCGCCCCGGGCCTCCAATTTGGAGGGGGCCTCCAAAAAGCCAATTACGAAAATTTTTAAATAATTTATTTGTTTAGTAAGTGTATAGACGTGATTTTGTGTTTTGATTTTTTAATATATTTATTTATAAATAATCTGTAGTAATGCATATACTTAGTTAGAATAAACGCTTTTTTAAAATCTTGACCGAATTGGTAATCCACGTCTATTTTTAGTCGGACATTGACATCATTATACTTGAATGTGATTGATTGATATAGTTTTTGGACGAGTCGGCTTTTTCAAACTTTTTTGTTGTCTGTTCCATTTGGTTTATAATTAAGTGAGTTTTAAATTTTATTTATATATTTATCAATCTCTTCTTTAATAAGTTTAAATATAACTACTATCTTTCAGGTAAGAAAAACAGAAAATATACTTTCACCCACCGGTACTGACTCACTAGTTTAAATCTAAGGTACAAAAAGTGTTGATAGGTAAAGACAGATATCTGTTCTCCTCGGTTTACGTGACTGATGTTACACCATTTTTTTTCACTTTTAATTTTTTTAATTATATTTTAAGCCCTGAAGTTAAAATAAATTATTAGAATTAAAACACTATCAACTTTTAGATAGATACGTGATCATGAAAAGACATCATCCAAGTGGAGCACAAAAACGAAAAATTTTGAAAAGTAGAAGGGATGAAACCGAAGCTCTGTCTGGATCAATGCTTAAATTTGTTAACCAAGTTGCCAAACCAGAATCCATTATTGCTAGTTCATCAAGTCAGCAGACTGATTTAGATACAACCGTAGAATCTGACCAAGGAAAAACAACCACCGAAACTGAAACGTCAAACCAACAATGCGAGGATGAAATCAATTTTTCTAGTGAAAATGATATTTTTTTATTTTGTGATGTGGGAAATTGGACAATTCCGTTATCAGATAACATCAGAATCAGTATAGTAAAACTAAAGAGTGAATATTTCCAGAACAAAAATGGTTCATTTTGAGTGGTTCAAAGAGTAGGGAAGCAAACAAAGGGTCAAACTCGACAGTTGACAAAGCATTGGTTCTACAAGCATCTTCCAAATGGTGAAAAAGTTCTCAGAAAGTGGATGGTTTATTCTCCTTCCAAAAAATGTTTATTTTGCTTTTGTTGTCGACGTTTTGCTGCTTGTGATAAAGAAAGTAATGATTTTTCAAAATTTGTTACAGGGTTTAATAATTGGTGGAAACTAAACCCTGAGATTTCACATCACGAAAATTCTGAAATTCACTTAAACAATCATGAAAAATGGAAAACATTAGAACTAAGTTTGAATCTTAATAAAACCATTGATGCCGTTCATCAAGAAAATCGAGAACTAGAAACTTAAAAATGGAATGACATTTTACACCGCTTATTGGATGTCACCATGTTTCTAGCAAAACAAAATTTACCTTTTCGAGGCCACAGAGAAGATGACTTTTCTAACAACATAGGCAATTTCTTAGAGTTAGTTGAATTAATTTCACACTACGACCCTGTCTTAAAAGAACATTTAGTGAGGGTCCAACATAGCAAGGCAGGAAACACGATTTCATATCTTTTCCCTAAAATTCAGAATGAATTTATTTCTATATTGGGAGATACTGTGAAACAGAAAATTATTGATGATGTAAAGCAAGCAAAGTATTACGGGATAATGTTTGATTCAACACCTGATATATCTCACCAAGACCAATTAAGTGAGATTATTAGATATGTTCATATAAAAAACAAAAATGTAGAGGTAAGAGAATCATTTTTAGGATTTTTTCCTCTTGCCAGAAAGAAGGCTATTGATATCACACAAAGAATTGTAAATATTATTGATGAAGAGGGTTTGGACATAAACCTATGTCGAAGCCAAGGTTATGACAATGCTTCGGTAATGTCAGGTGTTCATTCTGGGGTACAAGCCAGGATCCATCAAATAAATCAGAAAATTTTATTTGTACCTTGTTCTAATCATTCACTTAACTTGAGCGGGGTTCACGCATTTGGAAGCAATCCAAGTTGTGTAACGTTTTTAGGAACAATTGAAAGCATTTACAACTTCTTTTCTTCATCAACTCATGGATGGGATATATTGTCAGAAATAGTCGGGATCACTGCAAAAAGGCTAGCAGGAACCAGGTGGAGAGAGCAATATCATGCGGTGAAACCTGTAATGAATCATTTCAGCAAGTTGGTACAGGCTTTAGAAAAATTATGTGATCCATCAGAAAATGTAGATACGAGAGGTTCAGCTCAAATTTTAATGAAAAATATTCAAAATTTCAAATTTCTTGCTTATCTTCATTTCTGGAGCAGTACTCTTGAGGAAGTCAATCATACTCAAAAATACTTGCAAACAGAAGGAATTGGTTTAGATAAAACCATTGAAAAATTAGATACCTTAAAACTTTTTCTGCATGAGAGTCGCGATGAATTGGTTGAAAATGCATTGATATTTTCTAAAGAATTTGTGAAGAAATGGGAATAGCTACAGAAAAATTGGGTCGAAAAAGTCAAAGAAAGCTTATGCCTGGAGAAGAAAGTAAAGATGAAGCTTTAATGTTGAAACAGGAATTGAGACGATCAATGTTTCAGTCACTTGATAATTTTTATCAAGGTCTTAGAAAAAGGATAGAATCAATGCAAAATGTATATGTAAAATTTGCAGCCATTCAATCATCACATCTTATTGGAATGGAGATAGAAGAACTTTCAAAGCTGATACCAAATCTGACAGAAACGTTTGATGAACTAGAAGAAAATGAAATGATACCCGAAATTAAACGATTAAGACGTCATCTTCAAGCAGGGAAAATTGAGAAAGATGATGTTAAAAAATGGTCTGCACTGAAAATGTTAACCTATATAATAGAAATTGATTTACACGAATCAGTTCCAAACTTATATTTAGCTTTAAAGATTTTTTTGACAGTGTGCGTTTCAATTTCTTCTTGCGAAAGAAGCTTTTCAAAATTGAAGCTGATTAAAAGTTATCTTCGTACGACAATGAGTCAAGCAAGACTTAATGGCTTAGCAATCCTATCAATTGAAAACACAGTGGCGAGAAATATTAACTTTGATGAAACAATATAAATATTTTCTGATGCAAAATCTCGTAAAAAACAGTTTTAATATATTTTTCGATTAGCTGAATCAAAATTTTGTGGCATATGTGTACTGACATGTGTAAATGTTTTGTTTCTATGTATATTGCATTTTCGTAAAACATAAAATATAAAAACATTTTTCATTTATTTTCTGCATCATCAGCCAATTAAAAAATGAAAAAAAGAATAAATGCCTTATCCTTTTCTGGACATCGGCGACTATCAATTTCCACAAAATATGGACTGTGGTTAGTTTTTGTCGATGAATTTCTTGGCAGAGGTATAGACATATGTTACCATTTCTTTTTGCCATTGCATCAAATAAGAGACCATATGATGGTCTTTGGGATGAACAGCATGGTATGCTTTCGAACTCGATGACACTGACTTCAACGACCAAGCAGATAATCATTACATCCACCATATAATATCTATGTATATGTAATACATATTATTTATTTATGAAAGGCATCACAAATATTTCCGCCCCGGGCCTCAAAGGCCCTAGGAACGCCACTGCTTAATTGTATCATATATTGTGATGGGACTATTTTATAAGTTCAGAAAATTGCTCACGCTGCCAAGTTTAATTTAAAAAATTTCAATTAAATCATATATTTATAAAGAACTGCCATTGAACATTTAAAGCGATCAATACATCAAATATTGTTTACAGAAGTTGCTCAACTGGCTTTTAATTTATTATTATTTTAATTTTGTTTTTAAATGAAAAAAGCGAAGCAATTTTTATGAAACATAGTTAAATAAATAAATTTATTTTTGATAAGAAATTTATAATTTTAACCAAATCAACAAAAACATAAACAGCCCATTTTGTTATTCAATATTCTTATGATGATGATAATAATAATAATCAGTTAACGAAATTCAAAACAATGAATTCAACCATTTTCGTTATCTTCCAACTGAAACTATCTTTTCACATCAAATAAATTATAAAGCTAATTTTTGACATAAAATTAAAAAAAACCTGTCGAATGCGATTGCTACCATGATCATGGCCGAGAATGGGATGCTGGATGTGATAAGGAACTGGTAGGTCTTGCAGAGGAGGTCGCAGGCTTCGAAGCTCCACAACTCCATCATGATGGTCAGTGGGATGATGAAGAGACACGTGACGAGGTCGACCACAGAGAGGACCAGAATGTAGAACGTGGAGACGAGAGATTCATGTTTTGACCAGAACACGATGATGACCAAGGTGTTGCCGATCGATCCAATGATGGACAGGGAGGAGAGCATGACCGTCAGGATTGTTGTCTCTACTGATGAATAACTGTGGTAGGGAACTCTATATCCAATTTTCATTGTTGAGCTGTTGTAATTCAGAGACGGGTACAAATGTATTTGTGACATTTTGAAGGAATGTGCTAACACTTTGAGCTAATGTTCAACTTATTTTTGGTTGTTTGGCCTTCACTGATTTGTCTGATTAAAACAAATATTTAAAAAAACAATTTATTCTGCTTATGACATTTAAAAAAATATTTTTCTGAAAAATTTATTTTCTGAAATATTTTTTGAGGATTACGAACATGAAAAGCCTTCTAGCAAATATTGCCAACTTTTAAAATACAAATGTTTTCAAATAATCCGAAATAATGATTGCTCATAGTTTTGCGAACGTGAGGCATTAATAGAGCCATGCCGACGTTATGTTTGATGATTGCGTGCGTGCATCTTGAGTCGTGTATTGTCTTCTACATTTCAGCCGCTCTTTAGATTTTTTGATTTTGCACTTAAAAATAGATATTTTTTATGTCTAGTAAAAAATATTCAGTTGCATTAACATTAGCATTAACAACCAAAAACCAAGTTTGAAACCATTTCATCAAATGTACATAAAAATTTAAATTCAAACAAAGGAATTTGCTTTCACATTTGCATTTATACGAGCGCCTGAAGTAATTTATTCGACGAATCCCCCATTATTTAAACAAACAGAACTCATTCATTACATTATCAACTGTTTCCAAATGCAATAAGTTTCAAAAATCTCGTTGTCTCCCTGAAAAGAGCATGGTTGCTATGTAAGTGCAGCCTGCATGCACTCCATAAGAACACTAATAATTATGGCTTTGCCAGGATGATGGTGCAATTTATCATATTTTATTTCAGAAGAAAGCAGATTACATATTAATTGCGGCAGGCGTTGTTTCACGCATCAATATCTGAATGCAGTGGGTCGCACGCCGTGGGTCGCACGCCTGAAAGAAGCCTGAGTCGGTGCGCTGTCTTCAATTAATCAGCGCATTCATTTGTTTGAATTTTTTCGCCAACCTTCTCTGACATTAAAAAAATGTTTTTATGTAGAATTATTTGCTTAATGTTTGGTTGCAAAACTAGTTTGAATCAAACGCTTGGCATGTTGCGAACAGATATATTAATGACGAACCAACGACCTAGGTATCGTATCTCTTTAGGAATTGTATTGCATTGTACACATTGTACGGCATTGTCGTATTGTACTGCCTTTGAAAAATTACTTGCATATCTTACTTACACATTTGAAACATTTCTTGCATATTATAAATTTTAATTTTGCAGTTCAACTATTCGTTAGTGATTGCTGATATTATTAGTCAAACATCTACCACTTTAAATGACCAGTTTGTTTAGAATGTAGCTTCATGAAATACTGAAACCATGAAAACATATATAAACGCTGAACTGGATAGGTGCATATAATAAATATTTTAAGCTATATATATTCCGTTATAAAATGACAACATTTTTTTATCTGTTTTATTAAACCATCATTCTGTCATTAGCAATTTTTTGGACAAACATAATTACATCAGCTGCAATTGCACTATTTTTTGAATTGACCCACAACACGCCAATTGTCTCAGTGCAGATCTATGAACTTATTTCACTAATTGGCATCATTATTTAAGCTTTGATTTTAAAATTACGACACTTTGTAGGAACGCATGCACCATCTTCAATTCCTCTACTACGTTTTGCAAAAACGTTTGCAACGTGATAACAACACACAAAATCATATTCACGTTTCAGCGGTAGTATTTGTAAATTTCAAGATACCCGTAGAAACGAACCATACACAAAATTAAATAAACTCTATGGAATGCTACATGCAAGCAATAAACAGCAATCGTTGAATGTCCTGGCTTGTTCTTATACTTTCATTAACACGTAATGTCGTATATATATATATATATATATATATATATATATATAACATATACTATTTTATTTCACATTTTTGTCATATAGGATAGCATTGAACGTATCAAAAAATCATTTGAAGACTTCAACAAATCAAAGTTGAAATTTACAATGGAAAAGGCAGAAGACAAGAAACTACCATTTTTCGATGTTTTAGTTCAAGGCAGTGATACCGAATTTAAAACTTTGGTTTACACTAACTCCTCAAAAAAGAAGAAGTGAAAGTTGCGAGAAATTCTTGTAAAGTACAATTTCATCGTTTGTAAACCGTGCCTATACATATTCATCAGACAGACGTAGAAGACAGAAATAAAAAAATACTAAAAATTCCAACCTCCGAATCAATAATGTTTATAAAAGATCATTAATAAAAAAAGTGATCCAAAGAAAAGAAAATCAAATAAATAACAACAACGAAAATAGCAATGATAACAAAAACATCATAATATACTACAAGGACCACATGTCGACAGCGTTTAAACAGGATAAGGAAACTATGAAATGAATTATTAAAAACAATGTCCAAACGAACTAATGAGTAAGAAATCGTTAAATTTACGAAAAGGGTTGCATTGGTTGGCAGTCGATAAAAGAAAAGTCTACAAGTTTAATGTATAAAATGCTTAATGGTAATGCTCCAATGTATCAGCATGACAAAATTCAGAAGAATTGACCGCGTCAGACAGCTGTGCACCTAAGGTCGTTCGATTTGAATATGTTGACAGTCCAGGCTGTGTGTCGGTGCACGTAGCTTTGCGGTTGCTGGAGACCAACTGTCTGGAATGGATTGCCGTCTACACTCAGGGATCCGAAGGAAGTTGACCATGGATCAAGTTTAAAACTTTAAAGAACTTTAAAACGTTTATGTTTACATTGTAATGAAATAGTTTAATTTTTAACTAATTAATTAACGTGTGAATTTTTCTTTAATGTTTGGATAAATTTTTCTATCTTGTTTAGTTTAACATTAACACATACTTGTCAGTTTTTCAATTTTTATGTTACGGTCGATGTAACGATTTATGTTATCATGTTTGTTTCTTTTTCTTAATCGGCTATGGCTGATTTTATTACTTATTTGGCCCTTGTTTAATTTTGTTGAAATCTAATGCTAGATGACGCTTTTGAGTTTTATTAACTAGCGCTAGATAAATTTTTAATAATAATAATAGTATATACCGATAAATAAAAATGCACTTATATATTTATATGATAATGAAGTATTGTATTGTTGCAAAAGAAATTAATTTTATTAACACTTATTATTACTATTATTATTTATGAGTTATGTGGATGTTAAAAATATTTATTATTATTATTTACTATTATTTATAAAATAGTAACTACATATTTGTACATATAAAAATAAAAAAAATTAATGAAAATAAAGATTTATAGAGTGTAATATAATAGTTTGGAAAGAAGCCAAAATATTGGTGCGGTTGAAAATTACTCCATCTAATCTTGAAGCAATTAAATTCTGTGCAATGTTAATAAATCTATCTCCAATTCCGTCAAATGTTTTCTTGCTTCGTATAACTAAAAGTACAAAATGTGAAATAATATATAAACAAATTTGCAATTTTTAAATTTTGGAAAAAATTTACAGAAAAAGTATTTAAAAAAAATTGCTTACTCTTTTCAGTTTTAATCGATAAATATTTATTTGAATAGCTCTTCCTTTGACATCCAGTTTTATCCCTTTTAAATTATCACTAATTAATTTAAAAAAAATTTGTTGAAAATTATTGAAAGTATTAAGTTTGAAAAAAGAAAGTAGTATATGAGAATGAGTTATGTGGGTGTTAAAAATTTAGTTATTAGGAATTTATTTAAAACATTCAAAAACAATAGAATTAAAAACACAAGTTTTTTCCGTCATCTTCATGATAATTTCAATGTCGGTTTAAGCAATTTTTATGAAAATTAATTTGCATCTGCCCACAACAAATTCTTACACAAACAAAAGACAAAACTAAAAAAATAATCTAAATAAAAAAAAATATAAAAAAAATCATTTTTATTGCCTACATCAAGAATTCTCGACAATATAATATTTTATGTCAGTTTATGGTTCTGAATTGCATTAGAAAGAGATAAGAACATGCAAAGATATGGTAATAATTTGCCTATGAATAAGATATGAGCCAAATAAAGCTGTCAGCGAAACAATAGAGTGGGGACCTGCTGGCGGACCTGCATCCACCACGCACCCCAAATTATTTATTTTCACAAATTTGCCGACGAACAAAAATTATATTGTGGTCAACAATAAAAAATCTGTAACCCATCTTAAAAATGTTTGCAATAATCGTAAGTAAAATTATTTTATTATAATATATTTTTGTATTTTGTGATTAACGAGAACATTTTTTGTCATTTGGTTTCATTATGAGGAAACAATTTAAGTTACAAACAGTTTTATGAAAAAGCAATATAAGCTCCTTCAAGACAACCAAACATTGAGTAGCATAAAAATGAAATGATTTATGAAAATCTACAACTACTTACAAAAATTCACAACCACGTTGTCATTTTCATTCATTCAAAATTTTTCATAATTTATTCTACACATCACAATTTAGTAGCTCGTATGAGAAACAATCCAACAAAGTTTCGACCAGCGAAACCACGTTAGGAAAATCTAAACTTCTGTCTCGAATGCGTTCCATTAAAAATTATGTCGCTAATATTGTATTTCAATAAAATAATAACGTAGTAAATACATTTTTTTTCTAAATTTATGAACTTCAAATAATTTTTAAAATAGTTTCCTGTGCTAAATAAACTATTATAGAGTGTAAAACACAAATGCGACATCCAACTGAGCCAACTAGTCAGAATGTATTTTAAACGTGTTAATTTAATTTATAGATTTTTTGCTCTATTTTGAGTTAATAACGAAAGTACTACCTACCAAGCGTATCAGATTAATAAGCGAAAATTGCCTGATTTTCTGTAAAAACATTTTTTAATGAATGTACTGATAGCACGCATGAATGTCAAAATGTACGAAGCCTCAGAAAAAAAATATTGAAACTTGCAATTACCGTCGTTAATATATTTAATTATTTACGCTTTAAAGGTGAGTTTAATATTTTATTTCCCTTACCTAAAATCTGTCGTTGTTCCGAAATGTTCATAAATCCTTTTTCTAATTGTGAAATTATAAATTAAAATACTATTTATGACATTATAAATTATATATATATATATATATATATATATATATATATATATACATATACATACATACATACATACATACATACATACATACATACATACATACATACATACATACATACATACATACATACATACATACATACATACATGCATACATACATACATACATACATACATACATACATACAATACATGGAGAATGAATGTTTGATAACGTGCCATCGCACAATCGTTGTGGTAATGTGCCCGATTAATGAGCCAACAAACTGGCAGAGAAATTAACGCATTTGAAATTTCACTTTCAAAAACCAATTTTTTCAAAGTTATGAATTGAAGAATGTCAAATAAAAAAATGGGTTAGCAAATTGTAGTACGCAAAAATATATCTAAATTATAGTAAAGTAAAAAATTATCACATTCGAAGATAAAACATCAAACATTCCTAACCATCAAAAACCCCACGCAAACAACCATACATGAAGATTATGAAAACATTTCATGCAGTGAGTCCATTGAAAACAAAATAAACTTAAATGACTCAAAAACAAAGCAATTAAAATGATTTCAATGTATAAAATATCTTAGAATTTAACAACTCCATTCAACTGTAATCTAAA